ATATATATATATATATAAATCTGTGTATGCCTCTCAATTAAGTAGTTTCCTAATAAAAAAAGATTTGTTGGATAGATATTTAATTTTCCTTATAAGGAAGTAAACCATTTTGAATTTTGACTAATAGCACATTAAGTTATATATTAAAAATATAATAAATTTATTATTTATCTATGCCATAAGGTGGGAAATTTATTATAATAAATGAAAATCCATTAAAACATTTTTGTAAGGAAAAATATATGAAGAAAAGGAAGAAAATAAAACGGTCAAAAGGTTAGAAAATATTGTGAATAACCTGGTGGTTTTTTTTTTTATATATAAAAAGCCTTTCCCCACCACTGTTCCCAAGTTCAGGCATAATTGTGAAAATTTACGGTGATTAAAAGAAAAATATTAAGGTATAGAAGAAAGTAGCTTTCTCTTCCAAACGGGTCCACACTTACTCTCACCAGGAACTTGCCGCCACCATCCCCCGATCGCCATTGAAGTTGTAATCTTCTGTACTTTCTCTTTTCACTCGTATAGATATAACTAATATGTTGGTTCTCACTCCGGTTTATAGCTTAGTAATCGTTTGGTTGGATGGGTGAAAAGTGTTTGGGTTTGTCTTGAATTGGGTCTTTACAGTCTCTGAGTAGCTTATTGTGAGAAATGGCATATGTTTTATTATTTGTAATTTGTTTAGGTGTATTTTGTTTTCTCTGGATTCTGCTGATAAATGCTCTGTTTGGTTGCTAGGAATGTGTGGGAAAAGAAATGGTTGTTGAGGATTTAATTTTAATTTGAACCTTTTTGGCGTGCAACAATTTGTCGTCAACATAAGAGAGGCGAAAGCCACATGGGTTTTGTACAGAATTCTCAATGACGGTATTTTTTGATTGGATGGGTTCTGTACAGAATTCTCAATGATGGTATATTTTGATTTTAATTGGGGTTGTTTTTTTATATTTTCATTTTCTGTTGATCGTGAAGTTAAAAGTACATTTGTACCAGAAATTTATCTACTGTATATGTTTGGTTGGTTTGGGTTTTTTTTTTTCCCCTCAAACCAGCGTGAGAAAGAATATATGTTACAATTAGTGTTAAAATACTAAGACTTGCTTTGGGAAAAAATATTCACTCCTTTTTCTTAGTGCTTGTTCTCTATTTTTACTTTTGAATGATATAGTTTATCTGCAAGCAACCAGTTATTTTGTTTTTTGTTTGAATTTATGATAACTGTTTGGGAATTGTGTTTAATGCTTTTCTGGCATTCTATTCACTCTGGCTTTTCACTTTTGATGTCTTTGTCAAAGATCTGATGCTTACTGATTTACGAGTGGATGATGATATGTTTGCATAAAATGTTGCAGGAGGAGTTTG